TCTGTCATTCCATTCAGATGCTTTATTGTAACATCAAGTCATACAAGTTGTTTTGCTTGACTGTAAGATTTTTTTTAAAGATGTAAAAGCATGCACAGATCAACAGATGTCAAAGAAACCATGACTTGTTTTGTACAAAGTGCTTAAAGAGAATCCCGGTTGAAACTTTTATTAACCCTTGCAGTGGGGCTAACTCCGCACTGCAAGTGTTGAGTGCTTGTTTATGGATAAAACATTTTTATTCTCACCAGACCATCGAAGGTGGCACCCTGCTTTTGTGATCACTGAAGCGTGTCTCCTCCTCTGCTGCAGTGATGGACTGCTCCTCGACATCTTCCCGTCTATAAACTGTCTATGCACAGTGTATAAAGCGTAATGACGCCAGAATCCTTGGACCTCTGCATCAGAGGGGGAGAGACACTCGAGACTCTGGTCTAAGAACAAGCTGGCCTGGCGAGTAGAACTTTTTCTTTTTTTTTTAATGTGTCACCTAGACACAAACGAGCACTATGTAGCCCCACTGCAAGGGTTAATATGTTGTTTTCATGGAGTTCTTCTAATCATAAGTTGCCTTATAGTCATGTTCATGGGACCTTCCATAGACCAAAGGATACAGTGTGTGTCACGGTCTACTTTATTGAAGACCTGTGCACAGCATTGCTTTTTAATAGGTGGGACAGTATCATGCCAGGTTTACATCACCTTTTTTAAAACATGAATACTCCACATCCTTAAATAAAAAGCACAAACATTGACAGGATTAAAACCAGGAAAATAGGCAAACACATTTGCTTTTCATTTTGCTGCTGTTCAGGGTTTTTATGTTAGCTCATAATGCTATTCCTTTTCCTCTGGGCTATTGTGTGCACATTTTTATTTTCACAGCAGAAATTAAAGCCATCTCGCACTGTGTTAAGTGCACCAGCCATAATATACGCCAGGTGTAGTAATTAGCAGCCACATGAAGGCAGCCTATTTGTCTGGTTCTGCTGCTGTTGTTGAATCCCCTTGTGCCTTCACACTATCAGATAGCTGGATTTAATTGAGGCCACATCAGATGAGGCATTACTGACACCTTTAATTGAATGAGCATCCAGGGAGAATTAACTCATAATATTGATTGGCTTTTAGCCACTTGCTCAGAAGGGTGTCTAGATAGCTTATTAGTTGCCTTTATTTACACCTTAGTGCAAAGAGTACAAACAGGATTTCATGGTGCAATATGTTTTTGTAAGTACTCTTAATAAGTTTTTAAAATGAGCTGATAATAAAAATGCAAATGTCGTTTAATAGCTTTTTAGTTTAAAAAAAAAAAGTTTACAAATATTCTGTGTAATTACAGGGCAGAGCGTTATTAGACTTTTTTGATTGGTTTAATTTTCTATATTTTCAGAATGTCTACGTTTATTTTTAAAATCGTTATTTTAATGTGTCATTACGGGTCATAACATATTTTGAAATGTACTTTTTGTGCTATTGACCGTTTAACTCTATCTACTTTAGAACAGACATTGTGTTGTTTAAGTAACATTATTTCCTTTTATATTGTTTTTTTTTAACTATATGTGCATGTTTCGTATAGCTTCCCATCTTTTATTTTCAACAGTTTTCATATTTCTTGAGCTTGCCATTCTATCTTGCCTGCATGATATTGTGCTGCTTTTTAAGAGGTTCTAGGTTTAAACAGTAAAAGTCATTAAGGAAATGAGGCAGTAATGGCTTCTATTTAAATAACAATCCCCTCAAATGGAACTGCTCCCATTTAATTTCTGGAAAGCGTGGATGTTTTGCCTATTGTTTTGAATCTAGAGCTGTGAATTTGGACTAGTTATCAAGCTTCACCTTGTTTACCAATCAGCTTCAGTGTGACTCCCCTCCATGCTGACTGGGTGTGATGGAATTCTAGAGAGCTAAGCTGCAAACGTACGTGCGGTGTAACATGCCCCCATGTAACTTTGGTCCCCCAATACCAGGCTTTATTACCATATGCCACACAGATCTGTCCTATGGTGAAAATAACGGTTTTATTTTTTTAAATGAACTTCAATTGTAAAAATGTAAATTACTGTTTGATGAGAGAACCTCTTTTATCTTATTATAACCAGGTGCTGGGGTATTTTGTGCTATGCTTTTTTAGCCCAGGTTTACACCATTTTCTGGACCAGACCTAGGGTGCGGTGCATTGCGTTTTGCCACTTTTTACCGCTAATTTGGTGCGTTCCAGAGCGTTTTTTAAGCTTAAAATTTGCTTTCAGGTGCTTTCCAGTGCGTTTCCATGCATTTTTGATGCGTTTACAAGCGTTCCAGACCATAGAAAATGTGACCAGCAGTATTTTTTTTTGTCTGGGCAGGAATGGACTGCGCTGGTGTGATCAGAGCCCAGGAATACCATAGGGGTGGTTTTTTGGTCCAGGGACAAACTGTTCTGGTCTGGACATGATCCAGACATGGTGTGAACAAGCCCTTAAACGGAATATGTCTGTTAAGTTGGCCATACACTGTACAACCATCGCAAGACCTTAGTCTTGCGATGGTTGTAAAGTACTTAAAAAAGTACTTAAAAAAACGTACGATCTGCCCATCTTGGACAGGCAGATCGTACTTGCGATCATCGCAAGCCCGCCCCCTTGAGGATCGTACGATTCCCGGCGGGTTTTCAAGCCTGCTTGTTCGATGGAAGACGTGCGACCGTACAGTACAAACGGTCGCACGCCTTCCATACACTGTACGATTCTCGTACGATCGCGGGATTTCCCGCGATTCTCGTACGAGAATCGTGCAGTGTATGGGCACCTTTAGGGGATAATTACCTAGTTCCTTGTGCAGCTTAATTGGCCTTAAACTGAAGTTTTCTGGGCTGAGCAAGGAAGAAGAAAAAAAAATCAGCTTACTTTGATGTTACAGCACAGTTCTGGATTGAGTTCTGGATTGAACATATTATTTGCAGTCCAACTCTGTACATAGTCTCTGAATTTATCTACAGTACTGAAGATTTCTTAAGCTTCCTCCAGTACTTTGATTGCACAATTGGCACTAAATAATTGTCTTAATATTCCAGAGCTTACACATTCTCTTTAAGGAGGTTAGGTATGCAAGTCGGACTGTTTTATATTTTGCTTATTTTTGGAAGAAAAAGCTTTGTTCTTCTGCATGAGGTAAGCAGATCTGGATTACATACTGAAATCCAAGTTATGCTCAAATTAAGACCTTCAGTACAGTGTAGTGATCACTGGAAGCCTCCGAATATTTTTCTTCTGGTTATTTTTTTTAGCATAGTGAAAGTTATTTACATTCTTCACTAAATGATTACACGTTATTCTAAATACATTATTTCACAACTTAAATTATTTGTTTTCTTCTTGAATTACCCAGTGCTTTTATTGCACATTTAACAGTTTACAAGTTCTGTTTTGCAGTTAGTGTGTACTTAAACCAAGACTACTTCATGAGGGTCAATTCAATTTAAAGTGTTAAAGCAGCTTTGATGCAGTTACATTTAGAGTGACTCCATACTTGTGCATTGCAATAACATGCTGCAACGCAAGTTACACGTGATATTTGCACTAATTTTCAGTTGCATCCTCACACATTAAGGCAAGGCATCATGCTTTGTGGTGTGCTATGTTGGGGGAAAAAAGGTGCAGATGCTGTTTTTTTTGTCCGTTCTGGTTCATTGGCAGCCCAATTAAACAACTGTCTTAATGCAATGCACATTAACACATTGCATTAACACATCTTGAGTATGCAGTTCAATTTTGGTCTCCTATCCACAGAAAGGTTGTCCTTGAACTGGAGGGAGTCAAGAAAAAGGGCCACAAAACTGAGAAGCGGGCTGGAGAACCAAAGCTATGAGGAAAGATTGCAAAATTTAAACGTATTCACTCTGAAAATGAGGCGATTAAGAGGGGACATGATTGTAAATTGTTTAATGGTAATGCAGTAATAAACGTTATACTGTAAACTCACTAAAGAAGGCAAGAAACCACCACCTGAAATTGGAGGAAAACATGTTTAGCCAGAAAGTTGCAGAGGGGATTCTTTTCAGTTAGAAAGGTAGAGTTGTAACTCCCTTCCACAAGCAGTAGGATCAGCAGAAAGTATTGACTCATTCAAGAGTTTTTTTAGATAATTTTATCAAGTATTCTTAGTGATTAGTGCGCACACACACACACACACACACACACACCCACCCACCCTGTGTCTTTATTCAACCTCAAATACTATGTAACATGCTCCTTAACACAATGAACCTGAATGAAAGGGAGGGTGGCATATACTAATTTGCCTCTGATCCAATGAGACCGGCTATGCAGCTTGTCGGCACCATACATCCACTTGTCAAATCTTCCCAGCCAGTCTTGCACATGGGATTTGCACTCCCATCCAATCTTATGGAGAGTTTGTACTCCAGCGGCAGGGGCTGCTTAAGTCTAACTGCACCAATGGAGCTGCTACACTTTAAAGATCTATTTTACATCACATTTTTCAAAACACTGTACCCCTTTCTTTGAAAGAATTAGACATTTATAATGTTCCAATGTTCCTTTTAGAATACCTGTAGGAGTCTCGCATTGTACTTCTGCATGTGGTCACCTCACAAAAGTTCAAAGTTGAGTGGTCTTGAACAATGTAAAATGTCTCTTCAGCATTATTTTGGGAAGTAGGTAAGAACAGACATCATTTAAAGGATGTTGGTTCTACAGTAAGGAAGCAAAACTGTTAATTGGCTATGCTTCACTTTGTATAACAGATCCTGAGTGCCCAAGACCCATGTGAACTTCCCAACCCAGCTGAGAGATTTGTTCTTATTGAACTTGCTCTTATACTTATACTTTTGCTTTGCATTTCTTGCTACTGTTGCTACTCTCTACTCTATTATAACCACATCTTTCTTTTCTTGTCCTGTTTTCCTTCCCTTTGTTCTTTGATTTGTCTTTCTTTGTACACGTTGTTCCCTTTTTCCACTTGTGTTTTGGGTTCTTGTTGTGCCCACTCAACAGTATCTCCTCCTGCAGACTCCACTGATGTTTACAGACCAAGCTCAGCATGATGTCATTATGGTTCTGAAGTTTCCCTCCAACTCACCAGTTACTCACATTGCTGCAAATACTCAGCCTGGATTGGCCAGTCCTGCAGTCATAACTGTAACAGCTAACAGGCTGTTTGCTGTGAACAAGTGGCATAGTCTTCCTGGTAAGTGCTGTACCATTGTCATTTATTTAAAATACCATGTCATAATTGTCTACAACTATGTGCAAGTCTGGTACATACACAAAGTTAATCTAGTTAACGTGTGCATGGTGGGGGAGGAAGGGTCAACAGGAGAAGCTGAAATATAATAGATAGCGTATTGTCTATAACAAGGTTAGGGCACACGTTTCTGCTTACACGGTGAAGTACATTTATAGAGTAGCAATGTCATCCAAAGTGCAGTAACTCTAAGCAGCCAATTACTTTTCAGGTTACTCTGGTCAGGTCATGTGATTGTCTGTCCTGGGTTACTGGACTTTGCAAATTTCACTTTGCTCATTCAATATAGCTGCTAGCCTCTGCAATTGTATACATATTTGCATGCAGCATTTACTGCATTTGGTGCACTGTATTCCTAAATACATCCAAATATGCTTAGAGCAGACATTTGAAAGTTAAAACAAAATCTGTATCATGCTTCCAGAAGTGTTCCTCTGTAATTAGCTGTTTGGCAAGACTTTTGAGCATGGCTCTAGGAATAATATAAAGCTGCATGGAGGCGGTGGCCACACTTGCCACACAGAGCAGATGGCTGTCCATTCAAAATCAGGCATCTACTTGCGGTTTTATTTTACACAGTGACATATGAAGCTGCTGCCAGGCAAGCATCCGCCTCAGCGTCTGGTAATCCAAAATAAATATACTGAACATGTGCCTGGCTAAAGAAGCCTTTCCACCTATAAACATAGAGAATCCTATCTTTAGTGTTTAGGACTGAATAATGCATAACACCAAAATGCAGCTGTATGGATGTTGTCCTTCTCTGCAAAAGAAAAAATGTAAATGCTTTTTAATGAATGGATGCTTTAAACAGCATGAGGTAATTAGGGAATAACATAAGATTGTTACATATTATTAACAGCTGATGTTTTCAGTGTCCTCTTATATCACATTGTCTAAAGGGTAGAGCTGTGCAATAAGTAATCAAGTCTTTAGAGTAAAAGCACATCAGCTAAATTGCAATATGTGGGTTTTATTTTGTTGATTTTCTATTTTGTCAGTTTGTACGGATGTGTTGCCTTACATATCATTTTTGTACGTTTTCTAAAAATATTTTTATATCTAAAATTATAGAACAAGCTTGTGCTCTAATATAATCTTTATACTTTCCAGCCCATCAAGGTGCCGTTCAGGACCAGCCGTACCAGTTGCCGGTGGAGATCGATCCTCTCATAGGTCTGTCACTTCCTCCTCTCTATGCGATTCATTAAGCTCTGTATGGTAGCCCTGAAGTGTAGATTACTGTTGTTTTTCACTTGCCAGTTGCCTGGAATGGAATTCTCCTGATAAACCATTTGCATGCAAATTGGAATGCAATGAGCTGTGGCTATGCTGGTATTTCATCAACTCCCCCTCGTTGGCTTGCCTAATTTGAACAGGCCTAGGACGTGTGTCACCGAAAATTAATATGGATGCCGTAATAATGTGTGATTGAGAATGGCGCATGAAGCACTGTCAGGATAATATTGGATCTTTTCATCACTCAGACTTGTTGATGAGCAGGAGCGAGGCCCTGTTATGATGAATTGGCGTTCTGTAATGTGCTGGAGCTGCATTTTTTTTCCTCCTAGGGAAATTTTCATAATAACAGCGAGGCTCTTCCCTATGAAAAGAAATAAAGCATGGTGCTGGGGCTTTATCATTTACATCTGGCCTTTTGTTCACCGACCTGGGTTACTTGCATCCATGTTAGAGTGCAGCTATTGACAAATGCATCTCGCACATCTTGTCTTTAAAAATGCAATGTTGTTTGTATATATTGTATTAGGAATGGGCAAGAAAAAGGCCTATTGGACATAAATTGCACAAGATATGGGACCCATATCAAACAAGAAATATGCAAAATAAGCTTTGTAAATGCAAAGTGGTATTTAGCCACTTCCAGTGCATAGAGCTTACCTAAAAGGCATTATTAAAACCTGCATAGCAATAGTGAATTTAGCCACTGAGTGCTTCATAGCATTCCATGTAAACATAATATTTCTTTGTTATATAATATATTACATACAGTTATTTAGTTGTGAAGTTGTCTGGAATGCTTTTCATCATAAAAGGTGAAACATCATAAATTAATCTGAGCCCTCCATGCAGTAATATATGGAGGGTTTGCTTTAAAGTGTGTCTAATCTTTTTTACATTTGGATAGAGAATTTAAAGAATTAGAAATTATCCACTCCAGCTTCTCCATTGGGGATATTCACCCTCTCATTTTTCACACAATAATGTCTCCAAGACAGCAAGTGAGAGGGAATCACAAATTTTCCAGTGGGGACCACTGTCTGGGAGGGAATTTCTCCTCACCTTGAAGAGATTTCCTCTAACTTCCTGTTGTGTCTTCCAAGTAGGAATTGAAGGGAAATATTCCCAATGGGACATAGCAAACAAAAAAATCTGCCTGGCATTTTAACCTTTTGCTAATCTAAAATATTTATTTGTGTTAGGAGGTACTTCAGCCACTAGGGATAGGTTTGAATTTAGGGGCACTTTGTGGAGAGTTGAAGTTTTTAACTTTATTTTGTGATTACACTCCCACTGAACCTGTGATGAGCTCCATTAAATATATGATCAGTTGATTATAGAGAACTCTGTATGGAATCCCTTTTTCCATTTTTAGTACTTTTGCATGTTTGCTGAGTACCAGGGGCAAGCTGTTAATGCGTATATTGATCTTTAGATCACAAGCTATAATTTTTGCTTGTTATGTCATCTTGTATTATATTTAAATGTGTTCTGCAGTAGTAGTAGTACAGCATCAATAAGACTTTTCGCTTTTATATGGTCCAGCTTTTTCACCAGGGGCACGCACACAGAAATCTTTAAAAAAAAAAATAGGCAAGAGAGAAATCATTTTTTGCCACTTATATTTCCTTCTATATCATTACCACATCATCCATTCCTTTTTGTATAATAATTTAACATCAGCATTTTTTTTTAAATTATGGCTAAAAAATAAAAAAAACTATAATCATGTAATTATTCTATAAAACCGTAAAAGTGTAGTTCCCTGCTGATCTCAATTAAGTGAATTCTGGTTGCTAGCGGTTTCTGTACATGCCTAATGCACTGTATACTGAATAACTATTAATATGTAAACACACTTTATTGTTTTACTCTATGTGAAAAATACAAACATCCATAAAAACACATACAACTACATAAGATGGTTATTGTACAATAATCTGAAATGTTTTCTTCATTAAGCGCATTTGTCTAGAATGCATTGTGGTTTGTGTGAGCCTGTGAAGAAGTCTCATTTGTGTCTGTCATAGTTGGCCCTTCCCTTGTGTAAGGAGTCAGGATGATGAGCAGTGAGATATGGTTTTATCCTCTTCAGAAGTCGAGAGCAGTCTTCCTGTGACTTATAGTGTGTTCTGTGACCGATGTTTACTGGCTGGAAATGGATGAACCGCAGTTCATTATCATACACTGCGCTAGGCTTCCCTTTCACTGAGTCCCCTGATAATATTCAAGTAAGAGCAGGAAAGCTCTGCTTTCTAGCAAAGAATAAAATATATATGCACTTATTTCATGAGCTATACTTGCAGAGGCTGTGTTGACAATAGAGAATTTATATTTGTGCATAATCATGGCACTTTATTTTATATTCAGATGCAACTCAAACTATGTTGCAATTGTTTGAAAGAAAAGTTTTAATTGGTGACAGATATGTTTTGCTGAATAATATATTTTTTAAGCAGCATACTGTACTATAATTTTTTTTGTTTAATTTGGTCAGGATGGGCAGTAACAACAAATTAAAAATAAATGACAGCCAAAAATCTTAATGTTCAGTGTTTCACATGCCACACTACATCAAAGGCAGTCCTTCTATATGACATTATTGTTTGAACACAAAGCATTATAAGAATAATATTTTTTTAATATAATTTTTCATACAACCTAGATGTTTTTATTCTGTGCTAGAAGTGGAGGTCTCCTTTAATCATTAACAAAATGTAAATGTTATAATGTAACTGAATGATATAGTCTAAATAATGATTTTGTAAAGATGTTTTGTTTTCACATGGAAGAAATGAACAGCCAGACAGTTGTGGGGAGATGGAAATTATGGAATTTGCTGGCCAATCTGACACTGTTTAGGGAAAGGCGGAGATGGGGAATAAAGAACAGGGACAAGCCAATGTCACGAAGAAGCCCTTTTTATGTTCAGCTAGGCAAGAAGTAAATTAGCGCAGATGGCTCTGGAAAATAACAAACTTGATGGCACCCACAGAGAAGAGAAGCATTTAGTTACTAAAGAATTTGGTACAGAACAAGAAGGAATGAAGGAGTACTGATGTTGTAGCTCTTTTCATTTTTCCGGAGCATAAACATATCATTTTCCTTCATGTAACTCATGACTTCAGCATAGTCTTACTTTCATCTCTTATAAAACGTATTAACCTTGAGATAGGGAGTATCAGACATGTTTGTACATATGTATCCCCATTGCTACTTGATAACTCACATGTGATGAAATGCAGATGGTCAGGTCCAGCTCACGAACATAACTGCATTTTTTTTTAAATACTGTACAGATTTCATAGTGATTGCGGTTCATGTGTGTGTGTGTGTATGGGTATGGGTGTGTGTGTGTGTGTGTGTGTGTGTGTGTGTGTGTATATATATATATATATTATTA